GGTACCAATTGAGCATCGTTGCAATGCCACAGCCTACCCGAGTATTGTTGCTGACCATGTCCATCCCTTTATGACCACAATGTACCCAACTTCTGATGGCTACTTTCAGCAGGATAATGCGCCATGTCATAAAGCTGGAATCATCTCAGACTGGTTTCTTGAACATGACAATGAGTTCACTGTACTCAAATGGCCTCCACAGTCACCAGATCTCAATCCAATAGAGCATCTTTGGGATGTGGTGGAACGGGAGATTCGCATCATGGATGTGCAGCCGACAAATCTGCGCCAACTGTGTGATGCCATCATGTCAATATGGACCAAACTCTCTAAGGAATGCTTCCAGCACCTTGTTGAATCTACAGTATACTGTAACCTAGCAGATAATCAATGAAGTCTGACCTGAATCATTTCTCGTTTTAATAATTTGGTGAGCTTCGAGTTTTATATGGCACATTTTAAGTACACTTCCACAGGGTGAAATTCAAGAGCTGTGTTAAAACCTCCCTCAGTCTTTACGGACGCTGTCAGAGAGCAATTTATTTTGACATGTTTATTATTATGGCTGTCGATTGCTTTGAATTGGTTTCGAAACTGCTCTGTACTGTACTAAGAGGAGTGAATGAGATGGTGCCCCTTCCCTACGGCTTTATGAAATATTAGAAATGGCTGCGCAGTGCAACAGAAATACATTATTAATGTATTAATACCGACAACAACAATGAAAACTTAACACAACCTTTAGCATTGGCAGCGCATTGCCAATTGTTGGCAATCTTGAAATTTTTTTTTTTGGGATCATTTCATCGTCAAAGAGATGCAGAGTACAGCAATTTGTAAAAAAAGAGTAGATCTGTTTGGGGATTGACTACTAGCATCGATTAGTTAAAATATATGAAATTTAACACATTTGCACATCGGATGTTAGGGTCGGACACTGATGACGAAAGCACTTTTTAGCAACATTTTATTGCCATTATTTGTCCATATTTGTGTTTAATCAGTCTTCTGCAACTCTCCCTGCTAATTTGCCTAATTTCTGGGCACTACTTTTGAAATAGTACATTTAACACGATGAACCAAAAGCTGCTCAAAGCTGTATTAAAACCGAGAAAAAAAAAGCAGGCTAATTTTGAATTTGCTCCTGAGAGACAATATGAATATTTAAAACGTGAACCAATTTGCACGAAAAAGCTGTTCAACCTCGTTGAAACATCTCACGAAAGCAGATTTGATGAGATGTGTTAACGGGATATTGTAACAAAAAAAGGTACAAGTGTTGTATTATTCATTATGAGACAATATCTGTAATTTTAGAGAAGTGACGATACCTCAAAATATGCCATGTACTTCTGCGTTTTATAATACAGGATCTGTAGTGGCTTCCATTTTAATAAACAACCCCACTGTTACCTAGCATAGCTTGGATCAGCTCCAGTCTTGGTGAATGTGTGACCTGCATCCTCGGCGAGTGGCAGAAGGCCAAAGTGCATCACCGTTACAATGGCAAATGCAGCCGATAACGTCTTAACAGAACGTTTTTCGTTTACAGAGCAGCCAAGATTCGAGATCGCTTTCACTCACTGTGGCCATGGCTTTCGCATCGTTCAGTTTATTCCGGTCAAGGGATCAGATAAATGCCACAAAATCCCAACCCCGCCTCGAGGTATTTGCCCTTGGCAGAGTGAATTCAGCAACACGGAACACAAAGGGACTTGCCTCTCTTTTTATTTCTCTCAACTTGAAATTGATCTTCTACACGCATTGCAATCTGCCAGTAAAGCTTGTTGAATGCCTCTTGGAGCCTTCTTGGATTTATGGACTGGACATGATGAAAACATAACCATCTGAAGAGCAAAGGCCTGGAAATGGGAGGACATACTGTGGCACAAAGGCAATACTGAAGTATTGAGATATAAACACTACCAGTACGCACGCTGAAAAAAAATACTGATTCAATTTTATTTTGTCAAGAACCGTATTTTCCGCACTATAAGGCACTTCGGAGAAAAAGGCGCACCTTCAATGAATGGCCTAAATTAAAATTGTTTTCCTATATAGGGCACCCCGCATTATAAGACGCATAGAATAGAAGCTACAATAGTGGCTGCGGTTGCGTTATGCATCCACTAGATGGAGCTACACTAAGGGAATACAATACAATACAGCTTTATTTATAGAGAGCTTTCACAACCGCTGTAGCTGTCACAAAGCGTGTCACAGAACATTTAAAATACTACATCCAAATAAACAGAATATTGATCCATATAGAAGGCACATCGAATTATAAGGCGCACTGTTGGCTTCTGAGAAAATGGAATGCTTTTCGGTGTGTCTTATCGTGCGGAAAGTATGCTAATTGGCCTTTTTTATGCGGGCTTGGAACTGGCAGTGGCTGTGAATTTATATCGCGCAAAGGGACTTGCCTAGGGACGCAACTGGATGATACGGGGATTTGAAACCCACTTCCCGTGTCCGAATTCAGCGTCGTTACCCACCGAGCCGTCCAGCCTCCTCGCGCTAACAATGCAGATAAGGGCATAGGCCATAACGCTGCCCTCTCGTCATCGGATAAAGCGAATCATCTGGCTGAGGCGCACCTTTGCCAGCTTCATCCAGGATTTGGCGGAACGGCTTTGAGCGAGGGATTTCGAGTGCTCATCCTGCATTTAGAATATACGCGCTTTTTCGGAACACACACACACACACACACACACGAGTGTGCACATTCCATTGAGAGTCGCTGATATTCTCCAGAGCGATGCGCAAAAATCAACCCTTTCTTCTTTTCCTGATGGACTTTTTGAACTCTTTTGGCTTTTGATACCAAATCTTCATGGTCCAGTATTAAAGTCTGAGCTTGCTTAAATGAGGCTAGCTTGAAGTTTGTTGGCTAGCATTGGGATGATCAACTTTCCTGCGTCACTATCATACCCACATGCCGCCCTCACAGCTTTGGCCAGCTACACGTGGGCTACTTCTGTGGCTCTATGAGGTCTTCCATTTTTTTCAAAGAGGTGTATTCGAGTTTGCATTATTTCTCTCATCTTGCTTGGCACATACTGCAGTTTTTTTTGTTTTTTGGGGGGGGGGGGCGGGGGAGATTGCGACCTTGTGTCTGTGTCAGTGTATGTATGTAACTGGGAGTCCTGTGGGGGAAATATGTTCAGGTTCACACTAAAACCTCTCCATGTCCTTGGTGCGATCGGGGATATATGTTACCATGGCGACAAGCCCCCAATGGTTACCACGGCAATATGAGAGTGAGGCACTGATGCAGCAGTGGTTGCCGCGGAGAGAAGAGAGGAGACTGTGAGCAAATAAGAGTGAGGTGAGACAGAGGAGGAGCCAAGATATGAGAAGGTTAGACAGACACAAACAGTTGGATAGGAGAAAAGAACAAATTGTCCAGTGCGAGAGCGCAATAAGAAGAAACACAAAAATATTACACGCCCAGGCGGTATTGTTGCTTCTGTCTGCTAAATAAAGAAAAAGCCCACAATGGTCACTGAGGTAGCTTAAAAATACATATTCTGGAAAAGCATCACTCGAGTAAAACCAATGAAATTCAGGCATTTCCAAAATAGGAAACGGCCGCTTTTTGAGTTCCGATTTTGTGGACAAGTGGAAAATGGTAATAAACAAAAAAAAAAAAAACATAAAAGGTTTCATTCAAGACACGAGTGATTTGCTAACTCACAGTAGGAGCGGCATTGGCCATCTCCCAACCTGAAGATTGTGGGTTCATTTACAGATATGCAGGACTTTTTTTTATTTATTGTTTTTTAATCAACACGTATGCAAGTAAAATTTACTCCAAAAACTCTCCTTAAAATTTGGGTGAAAAAAATGCACTACTTGTACCATTAAGTAAATGTCACTCCAATTTTTTTTCAGTTTAACCCTTTCAGGGACAGCGGTTACGACAGCGGACAGCTTATCGGGTTATCATTATTTGTGCCTCAAAGAGTTAAATTTTACTCTGAATTTTTTGCACTTAAATTTGAAAATGTACTCTACAAAATTTCGTGTGCAGGAACAATATAGGTATGATTGTAGGCAATAACAATTTCACCGATCATCATTGGAAACAGAGAATGTGAGCCAAATTGCTTTGCTTGTCCCCATTTACACCATTTTTAGTTTCTGGAGGTGTAATAGTAAGATGCCCTATTACTTCTCTTCTGGCTATTTTTAGTATTGTCATCACTCTTGGCCGAGCGGAGAGATGGACATCTTTAAAAGCACATCGGGGTGACTGGCTATCACAGAGCAAATACTGACTAACTGGCTCGTCCCCCTGTCCAAAAGCATCTGTTGACCTTCCGTCCAGATGGCCCAGGCAGACATGCTGGGGGGCGTACATGACCACACAGTAAATGACGGTCAACACAAAAATCTCTCGAGGTTAGCGCATCCTCTTGCTTCCCTCAGGTTTAACACAGCAGAGGGAAAGGTTGCTTGGCTGACATTGTCCGATGGTGGCTTGGTTACAAAAATGCGTTTTTGGCACACGGCCTGTAATGCAGTCATGGCTAAAGTCCAACTTACAGGCCAAATGTACATCCTCCAGCTTAGATGCTAAAGGCCAGCAGGATATTCTGAATGTAACGTTGAACTTATTGAAGTCTTTGAGCATTTGAAATTGCAGAGCATCTGTTCCAATGCATTTGCTCACCTGTAATGTAAGTGTTTTATTCCAAATAATGCTGCCTTCTAAGTTGGGTATCTGTAATTTCGATGTAAAAACCTGGAAATCAAAGCTGCACTGTTGATCTCATCTGTCATTATCGCCTTTTGACGTCAACTACCAAATGCTTTTCGCTCGAGGTGTGTCCACTGAATTGGCTGGAAACATGTTCTCATAGCATGTGCTCAAATGTCTGTAGCGTACAATTTGAATGACGTGTGGCGCTTTGTTGAATCAAGGGTTATTTTTCCCTGCCGTGTCTTTATTTTGTGGACCCACACACCGACAACATCAGGCGAGGTGCTGACGTATTGGACAATCTTGCTGCCTGTGAGCTAGCCATCGCAACTAGCATAAGAAAAAGCTAACTTTCCCTGAAGTGTCTCTCTTATGTGTACCCATGCATGGCGCACAGAATGAGGTGGCAAAAATGGACTCTTTGCACAAAATTTCCCGCGCTGACAAAATATGGCCCAGTCTTTTCCGGCTTTGAAAAAATGGCGTCATTCTCCACAGCGTTTTTACAAGTCTTGTCCACTCACAAACATACACTGTCTTTGTAAAATGTCTTCCAGAGCACAAAGCAGCAATTCAGAAATGCTGTAAGGTGTATGTATGTCCTCTTACATCTACAGATATTATGAGTCAATATTCTTTCTCATGTTGTGGTTGGGGGATGATCTAAAATGCTTAATATAAATAAAAATCAACATTGGCTAATGCCCGAAAATGTGGTCAGTCAAAAGGTATGTGGAAATCTCTTCTTATACTCTTTGTCTCGCATTCAAATATTTTTCAGAGTTTGAAGTGGGCGTAAGTAAAGATGTCCACATACATTTGGGCGTGACTGTCTCGTTGTAGGTTGACGACATATGCAAATACCACACAGTATGTGGTATTGTAGCAACGTTAGCATGAACATGCATGTTCATGCTAACGTTGCTATTGATTTAAGCAGAAAATAACCAATGGGCATACAACGGGCACACAACTGTACATAATGGAACATAAAGTAAAGGAAAGCAATCTTCAACGGTGAATCATCAATGGGGTTTGGTCATCTATGCCAGAGGTCCCCAACCGCCGGTCCGCGGACCGTTACCGGTCCGCCGGGCATTTGGTACCGGGCCGCACAGAAAGAACTTGCCTTAATTCCGTTTTATTTATTTCGGAATACGAAAGATGTTTTATTTTGAAAAACTACCGGATTCTCCGTTACATCTGTCTGTGTCACGCTTGACACACGTCAAGCCACGCTTCTCTGTCACGTGACCGATTACTTCAAAACAAAATGCAGGAGCTCGCAAAATGAGTAAAAAAAACTGTTGGAGATCGCAAATCACGGCCTTAAAAGTACGTTCGAGACAACTGGATTAAAGTTATGGCTGAATACTCTGAGATCGCCACAATAGCACTGTTGCTATTTCCGACATCCCACCTGTGTGAGGTGGGGGGTTTCTGCAGCAACGGCGACGAAAACAAAATTATGAAGTAGACTGGACATAAACCACACACTTGAGGTGTCATTGTCTCCTATTACCCCGAGATGGGACCATCTGGTTGCAGAAAATCAAGCTCGGTGCTGTGGTGAGTCGTCATTTTCATGCACTTTGAATTTGCGTTGTATCGTATTTTGAAGGCATTAAACATTGCCATAGCGATCGGAGTGTTTCGGCCAGATTAGACGCCCCTTGTGTTTATTATTATATTTCGAAAACGCCACAGTTTTCATGCAGCTCATACCATATTATTTTGTTGTATTATTTCCACCACACCTTAAATGCCGGTCCCTGAAAATATTGTCTGACATAAACCGGTCCGTGGGGCAAAAAAGGTTGGGGGCCCCTGATCTATGCCTTATTCTCGACGGGCAGTGATGTCACGTATGCCCCAAGTCACATTACGTCAACGTCTCGCCACACTGAAGTAGGAAGTGCAGACGTTCGCATTTTCAAGCTGGAAATGGAGGCCATGCGTTGCGTTTGTGTTCGCTAAAGACGGACATATTCAGGTTGGTTGTGCACTCTGAACTGTACAACGTATTACATAGCTTAAAAAACAAAACATAAAACTTGAAAAATATTTACCTATACGGCATTAGCATTTAAATGTCAGGTTAAAAAAATGGCTATATATATGTAAAAAAAAATTCATTTGTCACTGCTAACGCTTTTGTTCAGTAAAATCCAGGTAACGTAATAATTGATCACATTGATTGATTCGGGAAATGAACATAAAGTGCACTTCGCAAGTCATTTCAAACTCTGTTTATTAGCAAGATGAAGTACTTCTCGTTCTCTAATACCATGAAGAAAGTCATTCATGTACTGTTTGATTCATTTTGCCGAGTGGACATTTCTCAAATTGCCAGGTGTACTGGAGCAAGTGTGCTGAGGGATCAATAACAGGATTGAAATCTCTTGCTATTTTGTTTGCGGCGTTGTCTAGTAGGGTCATTATTATAAGGGCCGTAAATGTTAGCGAAGATAAAAATTGGCTGGTCAATACGGCTTTAATCATCATAAATCTTCCATCCGGGTCAATAGTAGGAAGTGCTGTGGGTAAACGAGGGGATTTCTAATTGCCGACCGATGAAAGTGGACAAAAATATTAGATTATATTCTTGAAATTTAAGAGAGATGAATTCAGAAAAGCCAATGCATCACGTAATGTTTTTTTTTTTCAAACGGATATCAATTTCTGAAGAATTTATCAACCCTAAAATTCAATATGATAATTTTATGGAAAAGGGAAATCCCTAAAATTGACACTGATAAGAATATTTGAAGTGCTTTATGCGTTTTGTATTAGTGGTAAACTTTTTAATTTTTTTTAACACTTATCGGAACACGAATAACACAAATATTAATTCAACTCCTGCTTTCCAATCTCAGATATGCAAGACGGCCCCACGTGACAGCTCCATATCCCGACTGTGATATCGTTTCCAGTTTTCCTGTCCATTTAACAAGCTTTCTCCATGTTTGTCAGCGCGACATATTTCGTGTGTTCAGAGACGCTGAAATGACACAATGACGATTAGGGAACACATTTCAATTCCTCAAAGTCAAGGTCATGGGCCCCGACACCATTACCTCCCGGATTGCTATTCCCCAGTTCCGTTTGGACTGTCTGCGAGCATCTTCTTTTCATTGCTTCACTTGTTTCACTGCATGTTTAATTCGTAAATGGGATGGAATATATGTTCTGTAGCATGTTGGTTGACCGCGGCTCTCGCTTGGATAGCCTATACTGTGATACGCTCGGGATCATTAACGCTACCGTGCAATCGAGCCTGGCGGATTGACTGATGAACGTTCCCGATGCAATTTGAATGGAAGGCGCTGCAGGCTGAGGAAGGGCAATAACGGAGGAAGGATTGAAGACTCGGAGGAAGGGCCGGTAAGAGTGCAGGGTCAGATAAAACAGGAGATTAGAAAGGAGAAGGAGGGCGAGCGACAGTGATAAAAGAGGGGTGGGGGCGCAAAGGAAGACGAATGTCTCTCACCAATCCATTTGTCGTTCCCATACCAGGACAGATTGCCTTTGGTGCTGTCGTAGTATCCAATCTTCTTATAGCTTCCTCCTGTGAGAGACAGAGAATGTTTCACTGAGCTCTACGAGAACAGTTTCAATTGTATTTTAATATCCTACGGCCTATCCAACTCAATACCCACCCTGCCCAAAAGCTTGACTGTTATAAATACAATAATCTATTATTGACTGTACACGAGGGGTCGACAAGTCGATGATTATCGCCGAAGGTCAACTCATCTGCGCTCATGTGGATTTTGGACCTTGCTGGTATCAATACAGTGGTAGCTTCGACTTACGAAATTAATTGGTTCTGGAAGAAATTTCAAAACTAGAAAATTTTGTAAGTAGAGACGCGTTCTCCATGTAAATGTCCTAATTCGTTCCAAGCCCCCCCAAAAATTCTGACATAAATTTTTCCTGAAGCATAAAAATGCATCAAAATATGTAACAAATACATGTTAGAAATTATATTATTGCACAATATGCCACAGTTGTGCATAATGTAAAAAATAAAGAATAAAGAAGACAAATGATGGTCTTTTAACTACGTCCTCATCGTTTTTTTGCTCTCTTTAGTTCATGTTCTCTCGCAGAAGTGGTTTTTACCTGGCGTTTTGTAAAAAACTGATCCAAAGACGTTTGCTTTTGTCGGCTTTGAACAATCCTTCGAAAATGTCCAAGGCAAACATCAACATAGTGAGCGATCGAACACTTTTTCTGGGTCATTTATATTTACGTCAAACTATCGGAACGCCTCATGGCCCAAGGGGCGAATGACGAGGACGCTGCATAGACACATATCGATCTATCTACACACGGAGAAACATAGGGTAGAGGTCCCTCTTAGCCAATGGGACGCCAGGATGATGCTTGGTAGTAGCCAATGGCAGAGCAGCTATAAGTATGTTGCGTTCAGGAAGCTCGGAGCTGCGACTAGCAGCCCATACTGTATTTTTACCTTTCATATCTTGAAATTTCTTTCTGAACAAGAGGCGACATTTCCTGTTGAGATTTGTGTCACTTGAAAATTTCATATGAAGAGATGTTCATAAGCAGAGGTACCACAGTCAGTGCCTGGACGACAGTCTTTTAAACCCCCTGCGTTTTAATTCCGCTGAACCACCGTGTTAGTTCGGAATCCTAATGATGACAGTCGAACCTCTGAATTTGAATGTGGCCGAAGACCTCGACAAATGTCGCAAGTGTTGAACTCAAAAAGTAGCAAACAATAAACCGGACCACCGTCAAGGATGCCCTGATGAGCTACAGTCTCACATTTATTCTTTCAAAAGAGGAGCAGCTTCAACAATGGCTTTTCAGAGCAAAAGAAGAAAACGAGTTGAGCGTACAATACATACAATATACCAAATGTTATGTGACATTACACGGCAGGTAGTCTGGAACATTCCGGAATGCGTTAAGTGTGAAGCGCTCGGGCAGAGTCACCCCAGCTGACTTTTATATCTGCCTTATATTACTGGTATTGTTCCTTGCTGTGCACCACAATCATTCCAGTGGCCCTTAATTAAATCTTTTCTTAAAAAAAGCTCCTCTTCATCCGGATGTGATATCCGATCTTCCCTTCCAGTAAGAAAACAGTTTGCCAAACGATTGTATGACTTTCTGCAAAACATCGCTCTGAGGCCTTTCAGTCAGATTACATCATTGTACTGAGAGTGACGAATAACTCCTTATTTCTTCTGACAAAGGATGTCCAGGAACAAAATATATATTTCATAATCATATACAAAAATTAGTGCATAATTGTAGTAGAAAGCAAGGCAGCATGGTACCACTGGGCATCCAGACTGATGGAAATACAGTGAAGAAAGCACGGTAAAAGTAGAAATGACAAAAAGCTAGGCTAACCGTTAGCTTGTGTGGTTACTTTGTTTGAATGCGACATTTTCTCCGCGGACACATAATTGTGGTGGAAGGCAGTCTCCAAAACAACCAGCTTTAAACTGTGCCAAGTTGCTCGCGTCTGCAAAAATACCAAACCTACGCCAAAGTCTTACCCGCCCCTGCGTAGATTTAGACCGTGCTTCGAGCCCATGAAAAGAGAGCCCCAATGTCTGTGGGTTGTCAGTTTATTCTCCCTTTCAACAACTGAGGGCTTGACTACGATGAGACATTCCACTCCCCTAACTTTCTAAAGGGATGTAAACGGGATTCAGTTCTCCATCAAATTGATTTTCTAATTTGACAATTTTATATTACCACGGTTGTGATGACAACATCCGTTTTTATGATAACACGTCTATCTGTTCTATTCATGTGTGACGGTTAATGCAAGATCTCCCGCATTGGTTTCATCCTTCCCTCACTTTCTCAGCAGCATCCCCGTCAGCAGAGTTGAATAAATGATGACATCACTCATTCTTCTTTTGAATGAGCCAATTTCTGTCCTCAAAGTAATTCATGTTTACGGTCATGAAATCCGACTCTCAGGTGGCTGTGTTTGTATAATCTTACTGCTCCGGCTGCTGTGCAATCATTTGGAACTATGTAATGATCCTTTGAAATGGGACTTGTTTTGGGAATTCAAAGGCTGGACATTATCAGCCGATTACATTCACTCATGTCATTTTTTGAAGCAAAAAGAAATGAGAATTCATGGTCACATGCATAAAAAAAATTGGAATAAAATGCACCTCCATCCACCAATAGCATTATTATTGTTAATGCAATGACTGGTCATGGTACACACTATTTCTTCATCCCGATTCCAATTTCTGTCTCGTCGCAGTATTCTTTCCCTCTTCTCGACGAGTCGAGACAGATGGCCTCACGACACTTGTGTCTCGGCTCTGTTGTAGTTTTCGTCCTTCAAAGGGAGGTTTTCCTTCACTTAGTAACCAAAGTGCTCAAGTTGGGTTCAGTTGTTGTTTTTTTTTTTTTTTAACCCTTTCGGGGACAGCGGTTACTAAAGTGGACGGTTTATCAGGTGACAGGTTATCATTATCGGGGCATGAAAGGGTCGTAGACTTTCTCCACGTGTCAAGTGCCTTGAGATTAAAGGACTGTATTGTCATGTGGGACTTTTTAAATCCAATTAACTTGACTTTACTGGACCAACTGAGGGCCTCTTGAACGGTTATAACCATTTCAAAATATTGGTCAGTAAAAATTGTCAATATGAAAAACCACCATTTTGACAACACGTATCGTTATGCTGGTTTCCTGGTTCATACCCCCCTGCCACACACACACATTTTTTTCTCCCTGAACACCCCTTTTTGAGGTTGACCTTTCTTTTAGAATATCAGAAAACATCTACCAAGAGTCAACCACATGCAGCGTGAATCCTTTCAAGCAAAAAGGTCCCCTGGCGGAGGTCGCTCAGGGGATGGAAATAGTATGGAATTATATGGACATTAAATAACACTTAGATTTGATACTTCACCTGATAATCATTTGTAAGACGAAACAGAATGTTGTTTATTAAATAAAAATGCTTACTGTGATTGTAAAGATTAAAATAAATTTTTATCGTGTTAATTTTTTCATAGTGTATATCAGGGGTCGCCAAAATGTTGAAAGAGCCATATTTGACCCCCCCCCCAAAAAAAAACCAAACAAAAAAAAAAACAAATATGTCTGGAGCTGCAAAAAATTAAAAGCCTTATAATGAAGGCAACACACACTTTATATTAGCTATATTAGCCCGCTAGTTGGCTATAAATACACAATGAGCCTTCATGATTAAAATGTATTTTTCCCTTTAGAATGTTTGCGTCAGGTTTGTCCTCCTACAAAAAACATATTAAAACAAAAAAATATGTTTCCCTCTCCCATCTTTTTCCATTTTCAGACATTTTTGAAAAAGGTCCAAGGAGCCACTAGGGCGGCGTTAAAGAGCCGCATGCGGCTCTTGAGCCGTGGGTTGCCGATCCCCGGTGTATATCTTGGTTAATCAGTGGCCATCTTATTTGGTAATGTGTTGGGTAATGATTGTTTTTGTCTTCCTTCATCTGTCCCCCCCAAAAAAGCACGACACAGACATTCCAGTGGAACCTCCAGTTGGAACTAATTTCGATTTTTTTTTTCTGTCATGATGAAAAATATACATAATACAATCGAACCAGAAATGGTCAAGTGAAACCAATTCATAAGAAATCTCTACGGGAAAAATTGTTGAGAAATTTCACTTTTGGGTTCCACAGAATTTAATGAGGCCTCACGAGTGTTTCACTTCCTGTTGGTTCATGGTCGCAGTAGGTATTTCCGAATAAGACACTTGGGGTAGAGCTCTGCATGACCGGATTGTTTGGGTTGAATATCAGCGCGCCGCTACACATAAGGGCACATCCCAAAAAGCATCAGACAATCTCCCGCTTTCAGTGCAAAACTAATGAGGCATAATTTTGCCACAACATGGTGAACGACGGGGAGTCGGACAAACTGCAACACAATTCTCATCAGTTCTTTGCGTGATTGAACTTTGGCAATCAGTATCCATCAGCAGGCGGAAAACATTAACGTGGTTTGTGCACATTCAATATAAAGCGCTAATCCCAGGGCTTCTGTGTAGACCTCACATTACTCACAACAGATATTCTTGATGAACCCGATCTTTCATGAATTTTACATTTTTTAAAAATCTTATTTGAAGGATGCTGGGACATATTCATCAGCGCGACTTGGATCTGCCATCCGACAACACTGCTATCATGTCTATCCAGGCATCCATTTTCTATCCGCTTATACCGTTCGGGATCTCAGGAAGCTTGTGCCTGTCCCAGCTGAGCAACAATTTTGGACCGGTCTCCAGTCAGTCACAGGATACATCGTGTCGGAGTGTCAGAGAGTGGGAACTAAACCGATGCTGCATGCATGGACAAGAAATGTGTTCACTACCACACCCCATTTGGATCTTGTTTTGTTATTTGTATTTTATATATTTGTTGTTTGTTAGACTTTATATTTACAGTTTGATCGTCAGATTTCGAGTGTGCGATGCTCGTTTTAAACAAATGACCTCGTGATTGTAATGAATTCCATTTTCAAGCAGTAACAAGCTGCACCGTACCTTGGAGCTGCTCAATTAGAGTCCAGGCCATCCGAGAACCTTGGGCATCAAATATGACATGGCCCTGGAAGAAACATGCAGAATTTTAATGTTTTAACACCCCTCTCTATGCATTGCACTTTGCACCTCTGGCTTTATTCATCCGTCTAATAATATCTCATTCCTGATCCCTCTCTCATTCCCCGCACCTCATCATGGGCGAATTTTCTCTTGGGGGGTGTTTTTTTTTGTACTCACTGAAACTCCTTCGAAGGAGCTGGTGTTGAGGGCACGGTAGATTTCAGCCGTTACATCTCGGTTGTTGTAATTGAAATCCTCTAGGCGACGACCCTTGGCTTTCAGAGGTCCCACGGTTTTGTTGAGAGCCAGAGCGAGAGCCCACACAGCATCGTAAGCTAGGGGAGCTTCTTGAAAACCGCCGGTTTCCTCCGAGTTTTTCCCCCCTAGCTTCGACATCAGTTGGTCGAGAAATTCCTGGGAGGTCTTGAAAGAAAGAAAGATAAACACATGCGCTTTAGTTAGGGCAGGGGTGTCAAACTCATTTTTGTCGCGGGCCACTTTTGAGTCGCGTCTTCCCTTGGAAGGCCGTTATGATGTTTAATCTCATTATCGCATTATTACTTGTAAGGGTAACAAAATTATTGCAAAATCTCAACATCATTTATTACACATGACAATTTGACATTCAGGTACATTTTTTTTTTTTAGCAAGGACCATGCAAGTTGACACACATGATTTTCTTTCAGAGGGCCACATAAAATGATGTGGTGGGCCAGATCTGGCCCCAGGGCCTTGAGTTTGACACTTGTGGGTTCGGGTTTGCATTCACATTTTTACAAGTTTGGTCGGGTCAAAACAAATTCCGTGTTGATTTGTTGGATCGAATCTACATGGTCAGTCAAACGAGCTCAGACAACTTCAAGTTAAATGATTGGCTAAGGAAATCATATAGAGTTTACATACAATGGATCTCGGAAAAAAAAAAAAAAATCACACCGCTGTTCAAATGCCAAGTTTTTGTGACAGTGGGACAAGCTAAATCATTCAAAAACATTTTCCAACATTAAGGTGACCAGTAACCTGTGTATGCGCCATTGCGCTCATCTGTGAAATGTTGAAACTTATATTTTATTATTGTAAGTACATACCTCTCATGAAACAACATTAAAAGGGGAAGTCAAGTCAAAAGTCTGATGAATATTAGGTGGAATAGGAATGAAAGCAGTAAAATCCACCCGCTGTTATCCATTTCAGGGAGGCGGCCATTTTGTCACTTGATGTCGACTAAATATGACATCACAGTTGCTCAGAGCTCAGGTCACGACTGATAACAGATATATATATATATATTTTTTTTTTTAAGTGTGACTGTGTTATAATCACAAGCTGAGCAAAAATTTTCCAGTTGAATTCCACCATATGGTGTTGAGTCATATGGAAGGATTACTCCCCCGTTTATTGTTTATGGAATTTTAGGCCGATAGTGCTAAGAGATTCCAATTGATGGCTTAACATCAGGGGGTGTTTGCAGCCGTGCCCATTGTGTAAAATAGATTTTATCTTGGCCAAGAGGCAAGAAAATGACAATTTTCAACCACCACATTTTTCGCAGTGCAATTTAAGTTCTCCATTTGATATTTTCATTTTGTAATTGTGAATCCTGTGTTTGGAATTCGTTTGGGATCACGAGAAACAGCGTTGGATTTTTTTTTATCTTGCGATGACTCATCTGGATTATTGATGTTTTTCCACAATCTGGTCACGTTTATGGTGTTTGGAATATTGAAAGTGGATACAACACAATAAAAAAAGGAAATATTTTAATGTCTAAAGGCTTTTTTTCTTCTTAATATTGAGTTGTACAGGTTGTATGTCACTTTAATAGTTTTTGAAATGATTTATCTTTGTTTTTTTTTTTTTAATCCCACACAAAAAAAATTGCCATTTAACAGAAGTGTATAGATTTTGATATCCATTTGGAGTGTTAAGGTTGGTACACGCTTCGGTAGTGCCATATCATCGCAGAATGCTTGTATCTCTTCAAAAAAGCTCTTTGCTACACATAAGCACATTGTCAGCACCCACGAAAAATCCCGTAACTCCGCTTTATTGTGATTTTGACAATAACTACTTCTCATTTCCCCTCATACCCTTTTGTATACCCTCTGCAGTATATCACAATGCCTTCACCAAAACAATGTCAGCGAAAGCTTGCGTCTTTTTACGTTGGCGATTAATTCGCGCACGGCCCGTAAGAAATGTTCCACTGATCATTCAGCCAAAAGGAAAATAGCCAGTGGTCCAAAAGTCATGAATAATGACTGGTGTTATGTGTTGAAGACAGCTCAAAGCAGTGCCTTCACAGAACCTTTTGAAATCCACCCTGTTAAATCATTCATACGATCATTCTCTGTGGTCCGGTTTCTTTTTTTTTTTTTTTTTTTTTTAAAAGAATGAAACAGATTCCGACAATTTTACATAGGATAGTGTGAGAAATACTAAAATATATATTAATAAATAGTGTGTCTTTTAATGAATAATCCCTGTCTGGAATTCTTGTAAAGTTACTGAATTATTGCATACCATCCATCCATTTTCTAATCCACTGATCCTCACAAGGGTGGCGGGCGTGCTAGAGCCTATCCCAGCTGCCAATTGCAGGGCATACATCGACGAAAAAAAACAATTGTGCACATTTTCACACCTAGGGACAATTTAGAGTGTTCCATTAACCTGCCATGCATGTTTTTGTAATGTGGGAGGAAACCGGAATACTCCTGCGTGGAGAAAATCCATGCAGGAGAACACGCAAAGTCCACACAGGAAGGACGGAGCCGGAATCAAACCCTGCACCTCTGCACTGTGACATGCTAACAAGTAGACCACCAGCGGATGTGCGAGTGTGCTCTTAAAATCCAGTGCAAACTTTTACCATTAGCTCTTTATTTATTCGCGTCGAAAGCTGCCGAGCTGGTCTATGATGCAGTTTCCTATTGGCAATAACCCGAAATTATGGGGTCAAATGTTGAACTTACATTATCACCAATCAGAGGATAAAAAGTGTTGGCCCAGTTTTGTGGGGTAATAAAAGGCTTCGCGGTGATGCTGAGTAAGTATATGATCGGTAGCTTGTATTATGTTAAATGTGCTGGGGGGGAAAAAAAAAAACGAAGTTTCATTTCATTCAGATTCTTAGCCTAGTGTTCCTTTCAGACACATCTGTACAACACTGTTGAGACTCCTCAAGCAATAAATCAAACTTCATTGAAAATTAACAAATGACAATCAATAGTTTTTCTCACCCAATAGATGGTATTTAAAAATAAACCAAAAAAGCAAAACTATGGGATTAGCCTGAACAATTCGCAATTTGCCAATAACCGTAAATCATGCGCAGCACGCCCAAGAACAGCGTCTGCCATCTATAATTTTGCGGGAATAAAATTAAAATGTTAACCAAAGTAGTGACACGATTCATTGTATGTATTGTAATGTATATCATGGACCACTAGAGGGAGCCCACTGATGACACGAGTCCTACATTTTGAGAATCCCTGCATTAGAATCACTGCATGAGAGTGAATACGCAATTTACTGGAGCTGTTTGGTTAAATCAGGCCCAATGTATGGAATTTTAGTGATGATATCTATTCCTATAGATCATCAGTCGGCATCCCGCGGCTCCGGAGCCTCATGCGGCTCTGATTGGCTTGGGAAAATAAATTACTAAAAATTTTTTTTTTTTTGTATTTAATTGAAGTGTGTTTTATTTGTGTTAGTTTTTATATTATTTTAGTTCTAAATTTGAAGATTATTGTGATCTTGAAATATTAAAATATTAATTAAATTATTTGATATTATTTTTTCGTCGCTCTGCGGACGTCACACTGCGGAAGCTGGTATACCCGCTGAAACGGCGTCTATTTTGAGCGACTTTCAACCCCGGCAAAGCCAATGGAGAAATGTAAGAAAAGAAAAATATCTCAAGAAAATAGAACATTCAATGATGCCTGGGCAGATTCATTTGCATTTACCTCGGGCGAGAGTGGCCTACCAGTATGCCTAATTTGTGGAGAAAAACTGGCGAACAATAAACGGTCAAATGTCGCAAGACATTTTAACAATACACACAGAGCCTTTGCTGAAAAATATCCAGAGGGAGAAGAGAGGAAAAAAGCTGTTTCGGAACTGATGCAGAAGGCTGACCGGACGAAAAATCAATTCAAGAAGTGGGTGAAGTCTGCAAATTCAACTACATATGCAAGCTTTGTGGCCGCATTCAGACATTAGTTATTTTTTCAAGAATTCAAAATGTGTTCATTACATCGGTAAAATTTAATTTTCTCCGTAGCACTTCATAAGACATAACCACACTATAGTTGTTTATACAAAGTGTAAAGGTAAGAAAAAGCAATATATACAGTGTTATCTTCATTTTAGATAAGATAAATGGATATAAGGATGACGCCTCATGGCATTTTTCTGCTTTCGTTTGCTACATGGACAATTTAAATTCAGCTTTTTAATTTATTTGAAAGAGACATTCATTGTTATTATTTTTCAAGAATTCAAAATGTTCAAAATGTGTTCATTAAATGAATAAAATGTAATTTTCTCTGTAGCACGTGGATTTCATAAGAAACATGCTGCGGTAAAGTAGTAGAAGTTTTTTTTTTTTCATTTTAGATGTGCGGCTCCCAGTGTTTTCTTTTCCGTGGAAACCAGGTTCAAATGGCTCTTTCGGTGTCAAAGGTTGCCGACCGCTGCTATAGATCCTCATCGACTGCGCAGTTATCTCAACTCAACTCGACTCGACTGTATTTATAGAGCACTTTAAAACAACCATCGCTGTATACAATGTGCTGTCCATGGAGCAAATATCATATATAAAATAAAAAAAAGGAATTAATAACGAAGACAGTTATCAGTATTGTTTTCAGATTTGCTTCCCACTTCGTGCCTGTTGCAATTTATTTATTCAGTCTTTTGAATTCGTTTTATATGATGTAGAAGACGCCCGCGGGGAAGATATTTCATGAGAAATCCGTCTGCCCAAATTGCACCCCCCCCAAAAAAAAGGCACTGTCAAGATAAAAGACAGCAAAAAGTGGTCAGACTTTTTTGGGGTCTGGTCTCGAAAACAGTCGTTTGATTTCACGCTGCGATTATATCATTACACTACATCAGGCTGCCTGTCAACACAGAACGAAATGCGGCACGCAGCTAATGACCCGTGCGGCATCTTTGCACACCCATAGGAAGGTGTCGATTTCTTGCATCGTGACTTTTGTTGTCGTCTCAGGTCATCACACATAGCAAAAGACGTGTAACAAAAATGTACAATATCCATGTCACATCTCTTGCTATCAATTAGTAGGTCATCGAAAAAACAGCAACAACAAAAACACTTCTTTGCCTTTCATTTAACGTCAATGGTTCTCCTCAGACTTTTACAAATTGCTAAATCAATTCAGTTGTGAAATTCCCACTCCCCGCACAGTGTCAGCTCTTCTGAAACCGATTACTGGGGGAATAAAAAAAAAAAAAAGACAGTTATAGCCTTCATTTCATGCAGTCTCGTCTCAGGCAGAGCAGAAACTTGACATGCCAGATGGTTGGTTTCATAAGGGCTTGTTTCACAAATCCATCTGAGAAAGTGCTGGTGTAAACTGCTTGGAAAATGGCAGACAGTATTAAAACATGCCCAGTGCATTTGTATTTGAGAAATGTCTAAAAGCGTAATTGCTAAGAAAAAAAAATCCTTCATAGCAATAGACTATGATATTGAATGAATTTTGTTGTATTTTGTTTAAAAAAAAAAAGTACAATCAGCGTGCTCTGACTGTAGCCGTCATTCATTTGGTGTCATTTCATTTCTTTTAAAAGAATCAAATAAACCCATGAACGAAAACTGAAAATATGTGGAATGGTGGGTGAAAGCTTTTGTATTTTGGTCAGTAATTGCACGCGCTTATTGAAAAGAAAGAGCTTTCCAAAATTTCTCCCTCGGTCACAGTTGTAGTTGTGTAATTGTACACATTGATGCACACAGTTGATTTCATTTGGCATCGCTTTTTGATTTAGCATTGCTTTAACTACACCACAGGGTTGTTATGCTAGCTGTGCTAGTATATTTGTTAGCCTTTAGCCAAACACCTTCAATACCATCACTTATTGTGTGTTTGTAGTTTGTCAGAGTTAGCGCCTGCTTTTTGGGATGTTACTAAATGATCAGCATGCCAAATAACGGCGTGCGCAATCTGTTTGAGTGAGCACGCACGTGGAATTTAGCACCCGCTCTGCGGGATCTTTGTAAATCATATATAGAGTCCGTATAAAAACAATTACACTGAGTGCACATACTGTCAATTTAATTTCTTGTGTAATCCTGATTTATCTGCAGTTGTTTTTTTGTTTTGTTTGTTTGTTTTTAAATAATCTGGGCCATTTTCTGGCCTTGTCATGCATGACCGGTGGCTCTTGGCTGGCGAGATGGCTGACTTTGATCGAGAGAGAAAATTGAAGTCAAGCTACGTCCACTTAGCGATTGGAAAAAAAAAAAAAATCACGGTCAGTAATTTGCATTTATAAAATAGCGACATGTTTTCTTCAGTTGTGAATGCGCATGACATCACTTAATTTCTAAACTTCGCCTTTCTATCGCGGGAGACGTAATCTTTCTCTTCAAGATGATGATTTGAATCATAAATGCAGCAATGTGGGTAGTGGTAAACATTGCAAAATGAAACATCTATTAAAATAACAAGCTCTTGATCCCTTAAAACTGTATATCACTGTGTGGCGAAGGCTTGCTAGCATTAGAGAACGTAGCTAATGTTTGCGAACAAACATTTTTAATGGTCGCAAATAGATTTTCAATCAACCGATATACCGGGATTTATGAATAAAACATTGCAAAATGAAACATCTACTAAAATAGTGTGAATCGGTTCAAGCTCTTGATCCCTTAAAACTGTATATCACTGTGAGGCGAAGGCTTGCTAGCGTTAGCGAATGTAGCTAATGTTTGCGAACAAACATTTTTAATGGTCGCAAATAGATTTTCAATCAACCGATGTACCGGGATTTATGAATACAATAGCTAATATGAATAGATAACAATCACACTTGATTGATATAAATCTGGGAGGACTGATTTCACATGCTTATGGCGTGACGCTTTCCAAATATTTTTTTATGACGTTTCAGCGTCACGAGAAACGGCAAATGAAACCACAACGGCACTCAAAGCCTTACCAAGTTGGAGGCTCCCCGTACGGTCTCTGGGTTGAGCATGACAATCTCCGTGGTCACGTGACCTTCGACGGCTTCCGTCATTTGCTCCACCGTGCAGTTGACAGACGGGTCGTTGATTTTAAACCAGTTGTCCGCATACCAGCCGATGAGGAACCACACATATTTCTTCCCGTACAACTTCTCCTTGTATACCTGCGGAGGGAGAAGAATGCGACATTTACTGTCATTTGACTCCCACCACCAACCTTACGGAATAGAAAGAGAACATTTATATTCAAAGAGGATAATTTAACGTTAGCGCTCCTCATACCGGGTCACTTAGAACCTCGGAGGAGTTTGAGATAATGAGAATTTGCACGTGAGAGGAGAATTTATATGCTGTGAAGTTCTTTTTTTTTTTTTTTTTTTTTGCTCCAAATGTCAACCACCGATAAGGTACTTGAATATATCATTTCAGAACGCCATTACATTTTATGGGGGTTTTACACAGAAAGATTGCACAATATTCTGACGTCGGGTTATTTCTAGTGGCTCAAAGGTTCGATAAAAATCTCGTTGAAAATCAACCGCTTCTTTGTGACATTATTTTCCGATCCCACTCTGTAGGCAAGTGCGGATATTGAGCAGACTGGGTTACTTTCACCCCATCCAGAGTTCAGTATTTTGATCCGGCAGATTGCATTTGAGTGGGTCGAAGAGCTAAACCTGGCCACCAATTTTGAGTTTTGCGTCATGAGGTTGCAGTAGATTGAATGTAACACTAAAAACTATGCCAGGCAAATCAAGCGAGTGACCCTAGCAGGGGAAAGTTGCTGCTGCATCTTAGCATGTGTTGGTCAGAAAATTTGAATTGTTTTCAATCGCTTCGACTGATAACCCCTTTTTTGTTTTTTGGAACAAAATCTTGACTCAACATGCTGGGTCAAATAAACAACCCAGCTTTGTCTTGGTTCCTTTGGGACATAGTGTTGGGTTCGCTATTTCACCCAGTTTGGGTTATTTTAGACCAGGGATGACAAACTAATTTTGTCATTTGAGTTGCGTCTTCCCTGAGTGGGCCGTTTATGATGTTGAATCTCATTCTCGCATTATTACTTGTAAGGGTAACAAAATTATTGCAAAATCTAAACGTCATTGATCACACATGAATATTTGGCATTTCGGTACATTTTTTAACAGGGATCATGCAAGTTGATGGCACGATTTTCTTTCGGGGGTGGGCCACATAAAATGATGTGGTGGGCCAGATCTGGCCCCCGGGCCTCTAGTTTGATGACCCAGCAGTTTTAAGATTGATCTGCTGACCATTGAACCATTAAATAAAAAATTAGATAAAATAAAGCTCTGCAAAATAAATAAATATCACCGTGTATTGAGAGGCTTCCCAAAGCCATTAGAAACACAAAATTAACTTTTAAAACATTCATTTCCTTTTCAATGGCGAACTGACGCTCAATAAATCTGAGGGTATTCAGTATAAGAAAAAAATGAAAATAACAAAAGAATGAATTACCTCGCAAAAGACTTTCCTGGCTTCAGTCTCATAGAAGAGGCCAACAATGATTCGGGCATCTTGACGCTTGAAAGGGCGAGAAAAGAAAAGACAGTCACCCACACGGCTGACACACGACATGAAAAGGAGGTAAGAGGACTCAGAGTGTGGATGTGGAGCCACCAACACAGCGGTAGACCTTCTCTCCACTGGCGATAATAGCGCTGTTGCCATGGCTTCCATTCCAATATCTAATTAATCCTGCACATTAAATCTAGGCCAGCGTTCGTGGCAAGGTCACTCTTAAGTGTGTGTGCGTGTGCGTACACGTCCAAGAAATGACAGCAAGGCCGACAGGTGGAGGACAAAGAAAGGGAAGCAGGGATACTGGAGGGGGATATCAATTTAGTTAAGTAGAGTCTTTTTCTTTCAGTGAACTGCCCGATATGTAAATTGCAGCAACCAACTGCTGATTACAACAACACATTTATTGAAAACAAATAAAACAAGCACCAAATTGTCATTCAATGTTGCATTTTAGCAATTGGGCCAGTCAACTAAGGAATGGCCTTGCAGTGATGTGTTTGATTCTCAGTCTTTTAAAAGGAACCATTGTATTTCACAGTAACTTACAGAAACAATAAAACAATAAATATTAGTTCCGTCTCACAGGAGCACATTTTTTTTTCATCCTCCCCTCTATATTTAAATAATTACCGTATTTTCCGCACTATAAGGCACTTCGGATTATAAGGGGCACATTCAATGAATGGCCTATTTTAAAACTGTTTTCATACATCGGTCGCACGGTTTACAAGGTGCATAGAAAAGACGCTACAATAGTGGCTGCGGTTGCACTATGCATTCACTAAATCCGTGGTGAGCAAACTACGGCCCGCGGGCCGGCCGTAGTTTTTAATCCGGCCCGCCGAAGATTGGTACACAATTAAGATTCAATGTGAATGATTGCATTCATTTCATTTGGACTTGTAATGACAGGCATTTCATCGCCAGGTGGCGCAGTGACTTGAAGTTGCAGAGCACAGGGAGGGAGGGGGAGCGAGAGAGGGAGGGAGAGGGGCAAAGACAGAGGGAGAGAGAGAGACATCTTATCTTCCACCTACAGAGCTCTGTCAAACGGAATTCCCGAACCCGGTAAAAAAAAAAACAAAAACAACAACAAAAAAAAAAAACACTTATGGATTAAACTTTCTACGACTATATTACATTAACGATCGAATCCTTACAATGGAAGGTCCTGTACCCGGAAGCCATCATAACTGAGAACATTTGTGAGATTCTCTGGAGATTTTGCAGGCCAATGGATTCTGGCTCACAATATATGCTTATTGGTAAATTCATTCCAAGGCTGTTTGACGTAGTTCGATACCAAAACCCAAAGTCTGCTTTTTAACCCTTTCAGGCACAGCGGTTACAACAGTGGACAGCTTCTCATGTGATCAGGTTACAGGGTGCATGAAAGGGTTAACCTTGCTTTGTGCAATTGGGCATAGCCATTTGGAATACAAAATTAATTTCCCCAAACTGCTGTTAAAATGATAATGATCTCAAACGACATGAATTATTAATGCCCGTGAAACAAAGTGAGTGGAAATCCTTCTGCTGTGTTGCTGGAAAAAAAAAAAGACATTCATGTCTAAAAATGGTCCACAAACGAAACAAGGGGCTGTGTACTTCTATCACGTTTATCAGCCATAGTCAATATTTGCTTTCAGCACTCACACATAACAGGGAGTTTAAGCTAACAACAATAAAAACGCACTCAACCCCCACGAGCTGCATAGAGGCTGCGGACTCACTGATCTAAACCTTGCGTTCTCATCACTGCCGCGGTGATACAAGCAGACTGAGACAGGCTGTACGTGCAGGAAAACATTATTTTTGGACTCCGGGAGAGGTGCAGTACAGCACCAGGCATTAGAAAATTCACACAAACATTCGTTTGTGGTAAAATGTGGCGGCAGGTCTTATTCGTGAGAATAGCACAAATCAGCCACATATCTCGGTTAAACATATTGCATGAATGTTAACTAGGTTTTTTTTTTTGTTTATGGTTTTGACAGATGACTCCAAGAAATGACCAAATTATTTCTTGATTGGCATCTTCTGTACAATTCTTTTGGTGATCACCTTATAGTACTTCAGAAGAGTACGTAGACTTTGGGTTTACAGCATAGAACATTTTACCTGCTAAACACTAGACTGACAACCGAACAAGGAACAACTACAAAAGAGGCTGTAGCATGAAAATACGGAAAGACGAATGCAAGTGTTTGGACATGTCACAGAGTCGCATGAAAGCAAGTAAAGGATTCGCAATGAAATATTTCATCTTATTGTGAAGTCGTCGTCAAGTCTATACGCGCCAGTATTTTTGCTCACCTAAAATCTGCTGTCCCCCAAAAGCTGACCAGTGGATCTTTTGTCATATTCCTCTGAAATCAAATGTTTCCAGTCTACAGCAACTGTGAAAGGAAGTCATTGAGGGGTGTCCGTATAAGGTATTTTCCCCACCATAAGGATCTTTGGCGTATAAGGCGCACCTTCAATGAATGGCCTATTTTAAAACTGTTTTCATATATAGGGCGCACCGCATTATAAGGCGCATAGAATAGAAGCTACAATAGTGGCTGCGGTTGATGGAGCTACGCTAAAGGGAATACAATACAATCCAGTTTTATTTATGTAGAGCTTTCACAACTGCTACAACTGTAAGAAAGCGCTTTACCAAAATTTTAAAATAATACGTCCAAGACATCAGAATAATGGTCCGGAGCGCAACGGATTAGAAATCGCACTGTCGGCTTTTGAGAAAATGGAATGCTTTTAGGTGCGCCTTATAGTACAGAAAATATGGCAATTGAAATCAATGGAAATTAAAACTAATTGGAACTCGACCAGTGTCCCAGAATGCAATGGGTTGAGGTTGTCTTAAAATGTCTGCAATTGACCCACTGACCAAGCCGCAGGATGTGGTGAAGTGGGACCACTGATAAAAGACCTCTGTGTGCTTTACATAGGAGGAAGAGGCGGTTTGAGTCACCTTCAGGTTTTTGACAGCCACAGCGGGGTCAGTGAGGAAACTCTGACGGACGCTGATTTCAATCCCAGCCTCCTTCACCCTCTCTTCGAGATCATCCAGTGTCTGTCAAGCACGGAGGGGGGGCGGCAACGGACAGAAGTTAATGGAAGGAAGGTCACAAAAAGAAATGTGAATAATCGAAGACACCGCCGCGTCAAATAAAAGCGTCACGGCGAGATGAGGCGCTTGTTTACAAAGCTCGTAGTGGTGGGTGGGGGAAGATACACACACACACACACACACACACACACACACGGAGAAGGGCAAGTGACATTCAAGGCTGAGACAAAAAAAAAAAAAAAAGAGGGAGGAGCCACAAGCCATAATAGAAATAGAGCAGACAAAAGAGCAGTGCGAAAAGGGGAAGAGAGAAACAACTGTCCTTTTTAAAGTCAGCCTGTAACCGTCACACTAAAAAAGCTGCTTCTATTTTTGTTGTTGCAGCATCCATTTTTTGTGCATGATTTTCAGGCAGCTGGACAGGTTGGAGGTGATGATCCTCTAAATGTCAATCACAGAGTGATGCTCACCACTCTTTCTCCAGTGACCCTTGGTTGTGGTGTCACTTTTGCAGTTACAGTAAATATTAAGTAGCATGATACAATTAGCAATGACAATTCAACTTCCATTCCGTTGCACTGAAGACTTGCCACTTCTGCTTGTAGAAGCCGTTTACTGAAACTGATAGTTAAATTATACATGGATAATATATCGAACGATATGGTTTTCTCATAAGACTGTGAGAAATATAAAAAAATCAGCAAGTAACTGCTATCTTTGCCCTTACAGCCAATCTACTGAATGCTATAAATGACCCTTTTCTTTGAACGTGTTATCTTCACAGAATCCAATTCACAACATCTGCACAAATGGATCCCAAAGCATTCAGTGGAGCACAATAATTCATAATAGTTCCTAGTCCCCGATGGGTTCCACATTTCGCTCTTTGAATTCAAATCCATCAGGAAGGGGAGCTCCTATCTTGCACCGTTAACACCTTTGATGCATTTGGAAAGGAACACGAATGGACAGTTATCACACAGACTGGAAAAAAAATCGTGTGTTGAATTTACTCCATTTTATTTTGTGAAGTGGTCCCGCCTGATAAAATCATCTGGATCCGGATACATTTTTAGGTTGACTTCAACAGATCTGCTTTAACCCTTTCGGGGACAGCGGTCACTACAGTGGACAGCTTATCATCAGTGGACTATGCACAACATCGTTAAAAAAAAAAAAAAAGCTACTGTTGCTGTGTGGCATTAAGAAGCATATTTTACTCACTGATGTAAAAACTTCTGTTGTCTGCTGAATGGTGGCAATCTTGGTCCATTTCCACTTCTGGAAGAGCTGGACTCGAGTGGGGTTGTGCAGCGTGGCAGACGGATGAGTGCGAAAGAAAGTCGGAAAGCGCTGGCGATTGGACAGAGCGGGAGAACTGGACCCATAGGACAACTGAGAGGGAAGAAGAATGTTTTGAATAAACAACTCCATTGGGTTTTTTTTCTTCTCGCTTTTGGGTCAGTTACATAGGTTCACTTCTTTGAAAAGTCATTCAGTTTCCATTCAAACACGTAAATTACATACTTGTACATTCTGATTTGACTTCCTCCATTTGCTTATCAAAGACTCACAGTATCCTGATGTGACAACCTTTTGCATTGCCCGTATGTCTGCACAATGGGGTAGTCTTTGAAGAGGGATTTGCCTTTCAATGTACCTTATTTTCCACACCATAAGGCGCTTCGGCGTATAAGGCGAACCGTCAATGATCGGCCTCTTTTAAAACTCATATACTGGGCGCAATGCATTATAAGGCGCATAAAATAGAAGCTGCAATAGTGGCTGTGGTTGCGTTATGCATCCACGAGATGGAGCTATGCTAAAGGAACTACAATACAATACAATACAGCCTTGTTTATAAAACGCTTTTACAACCGCTGCAGCTGTAACAAAGCACTTTACAGAACATTTAAAATACTGCTCAAGAAATCCGAATATTGATCCATATATTAAGTACATCGGATTATAAGGCGCACTGTCAGCTTTTGAGAAAATGGAATGCTTTTAGGTGCACCTTATAGTGCGGAAAATACGGTAAAACATCCAAGCCTAAAAATTAAGTGCATTGGATTATAAGGCGCGCTGTCGGGGTTTGAGAAAATGGAATGCTTTCAGACGCGCCTTATAGTGCGGAAAATACGGTAAAACATCCAAGCATTAAAAAAAAAAAAAAAAAAAAAAACGTGGTACTAAGCTCGAACTATTGTGGCACACAGAATATTGTTTAAATCAGCCATTGTAAACCAGTTGAGCTGAGTTTAAAAGAATAACCGAATACAAGTGGTTGACGGACGTCACATCTAACTCAAAACTGGCCGGTTCAAATGATAAGTTTTAAATAAGTGAATGTCAGTCTCTAGGTATCAAATAGTTAAGATAAAGTGCGATATAAGTGCAACCTATTTGCCATTTTGATCAAATTGCAATTTTCATTTGGACAATGATGTGCAATGACTCAATTCCATTCGCAAGTCATTTGTAACAAAGAGCGAATCAGGATTTGGCTCCAAATTCTATTTTTAACTGCTGTGGCTTTCTCAGTGGTTCAAAGTGGTTGAAAATACACTTAGCCAATTGATTTATAGGGACATTTCAGGATCAATAGTTTTGCAAAAATATTTCTTATGGCTATCTATCTCAACAGCAGACAATTATACACACAATCTTTATCTGTACTATGACTTCATAACATGGTCCAACAGGTAAATAGTCAACATTGTCTGCTAATATATGAATAACACCCCAAATCGCTTTTTTGGGAAATGTTGGATAGGTGTGTTGATGTCGTAAATTCCCCGTAAACCCCCTGGCCAGCCAGTTGAAGCCTCTCTATGTGAGTTTACACATTCTCTCGAAGCTTTGTAGGTTTGCTATAGATTCTGTGGCTTCCTCTCACTGGTTGAGAGCAGGAAGAATAGTTGGAGTGACTAAATGAACCACGGGAGGGAATAGTAGTGCGACTTGTGCCAATAAATAATAAATTGTAGTTGGCTATTTTCTCATCGAATGTCAGCATCGCATCCAACCTCCTTCCAGCACCGTACGGCATCTTAGTCACAATGGCGGACAACGGTGAAGGAATGTGGGTCATTGTCTCACAGAAGCAAGTGGAGGAACACTATCATATAAATAGCCGACTGTGTGAAAAATGGAACAGTGCACCTTTTACCGGTATTGTCCCAAAGTACACAATGACATAAGTGCTATACGTTCTTAAAAAATACGGTTGGACTCAGTCAGTAAAGGTCAGAACTGACAGAACACCACACGTTAATTCATGTGACCTTTTTATGTCCTATTTTCATTCCTTTTATTCATTATTTCACGGGTGTGACGCCAGGGAACAGGCTTTTTAAAAAAAATATTTTAGCTGTACTAGAATAAATTGTAATTGCACATCCACCGCAGTAAGTGGCGCTCTTTTTGTCAGAGTGCGCAGGGAGCGTAAACATTGGTGACAAATTTATTCTGCAGATCTATATTACTTTTTTTGTTTTCTTTAACGTTATATGAAGGATGCAATGTTATGAAGGTGTGGACCGTAATTTCAGCACTATAAGGTGCACCTAAAATTAAATGTTCTCAAAAGCTGACAGTTTTTGGGCGTAGTATTTTAAATATTCTGTTAAGCGCTTTGTTACAGCTGCAGCGGTTGTGAAGGCTCTACATAAAAAAAGCTGTATTGTATTGTATTCCCTTTAGCGTACCTCCATCTAGTGGATGCATAATGCACCTGCAGCCACTATTGTAGCTCCTATTCCATGCGCCTTATAATGTGGTGTGCCCGATTTATGAAAACCATTAAAAAATAGGCCATTCATTGAATATTATGTCAAGAACCAATATATGGTTCTTGACATAATAAAGTGGAGTCACTATTTTTTTTGTGTACTGGTACTGTACAAAAAGTGCCGATACGTGTGTTTCAGGGCTAACTTTAATGACAAATGCCCTGTAACTTTTGTCATTAAAGTTACAAGTGTTCATAGTGGGTTATACCGTTTCACTGTATTTATATTGCAGTAGTTTGCTTTTTTACAACCAAGTGTAAGCCAGATTTCCCCATGTGCTCTCCGAGGCTTGAAAATCAGTCGAGAGAGAAGCATCAAATTTATACTGGCCATTATTATTATCAAAGTCTCACTTCAAAGACTGCCTACATAGATGAAACCTATACACACAGGCTGGCAATTTGAAGAAATGGACAGTTACTGGACACAAATTTCTTGTCCTAATATGTAATGTGATATGAAGGTCTGCTTCATCTACAGTTTTTTTTTTTTTACAGGTACCCACATTAGTTTGGTTCCTTTTTGTCAGGAGGAAATGGCATTTACGAATCACAAATCGGGCTTCTGATGCATCTGGAATCTACCGTTGCTATGATCAGGCATATCTTTTTTTTCCATTAAGTCTGTTGTGGCTATGATATGACAAAAAGTTGCATCATCGTGTTGCAAATGTCAATCTTACAACTATGAGGTTCCACATGCGGGCAGCCTCAGCCACCAGTGTGGACACTGAGCTGCAGCCAGGCATCAGTACAATCTTGATGGGCTCGGTGTACAGAAGGTCGTAAAGCAGCTTGGTGGCTTCTCCGGGATCACACTGTTGACAGAGATAGAGTATGGCTATCAGTGAATATGCTATGCTAGTGTTTGCCAACTTGAATTGATCTAAGGCACATATATACATTGGGGTGGGGCTGGGGTGAATCACAGCACAATGGTAAACAAATCAGAATTCAGAAATATATATACAGTATATGATATGATCCAAGCGAAGATCCTGTGGGACTTCCAGATACAGACTGACAAGATGGTAATGGCGAACCAACCGGATATCGTGATCACAGATAAAGGGCCGAAAAAAGCCGTTGTAGTGGATGTAGCAATCCCAAGTGATGGAAACATCAGAAAAAAGGAACCCGAGAAACTGGAGAAATACCAAGGGCTCAGAGAGAAGCTGGAGACAGCCTGGAACGTAAAGGTGACAGTCGTGCCTGTGGTGGTCGGAGCACTCGGGTCAGTGACCCCCAAACTAGATGAATGGTTGCAACAGATCCCGGGAACAACATCGGACATCTCAGTCCAGAAAAGGGCAGTGCTGGGAACAGCAAGGATACTGCGCAGAACCCTCAAGCTTCCTGGCCTCTGGTAGAGGACCCGAGCTGAATGGGGGACAGACACCACCCGAGGGGTGAGACGAGGAATTTTTTAATTTTATATATGTAAGAAGAGAGAGAGAGAGAGAGAGACACACACACACACACACACACACACACACGTTTATATGCTTTACGGGGACCACTTTTTTGTTCATCACTTTCGGGGACCACCCTTTCCATGAAAAAAAAAGATATGGCAAAGCACAGAGAAACCATTGGAGGAAAAGAGCACCCAAGGGGAGCCCATTCACGCTGACAAGAATGACAGCCGCCACACCTCCCAGTGTGGAGGCCCCCCTATGGAGGAAACACTGGAGCTTTAAAAAAACTCAAATATCAGATCTCATTCAGATGCGATATCACCGATACGTAAGGTAATGCATGTGCATTGCTTAGGAGCCAAGGTGAGGCATGTTTCAAGGTCATCTCAGCCCTGATGGCCTCGTCAGGTGAGGCTCCATTTCTGGAGGTTGGGGGGGAAAAAACATTTACCCAACCAGTCAAGTTGCATTACCTTGAGTCACAAATACTCGCTTGCTTTCCATTTACAACTTAAAGTAAATGAAAAATCCATAAGCAATTTAAGTGATAACGCTAAAGGCACGCTTGGCTTTAATCACGTATCCGTGTGCAAGACACAGAGGGTTGACTTTATATTGGCTTGTTGGGAATTCTAAGGTTTACAAATGTCATTTGGTACATTTTCATGATGTCATATCACTCTATAGCTATATTACATTGCTGAACTGTCAGAAATGAACCATTCTGTAATGCATGTATGAGATGTCAAGGTTTTCTTTGAGCAGTTGTCCCAAAGCTCACGCCACGGGGGTGTACACTATTCATCGGTGTATAGATCGTGTTATGCATATCAGCACTGGTTAAATATGCACACAAAAAAAATGTCATGCAGAATCAGCATTAAATTACCGCACAGCAAAGTGATTTACAAAAGTGTACCGACAGAGTATGAACAGAAATGGCTGGTTAACAAGAACCAGGAAAAACAAGTCATGAACAAAAAGCGCTTGCAAAAGGCAAGGAAAGTGTTAACCCGAGAAAACCAACGAAACATCAAGAGTCCAATTCACACGCAAAAACAAACGCAAGATCAAATGACGAAACAAAGACTATCCTGACAAAAGCGTGGTACTAAGGGAGCAAGAACGACTATGACGAGAGCGAGGGGTCGAGAAAACAAACACTTGAGCAAGAACTACAACAAGGTCAAATAATCTGACAGGCAGCGGGAAGCTTATCAGTCCTTGAATACATGGCTACTGAAACGTGGCAGCAGGTGTGCACGCTGAAGGGAAAGCCCTCGTCTGCCACCTGCTGGAGACACACTAGAACGGGATCATGACAATAATATGACTTACTAGTTTTAAGTTTGGTGGAGCTACTCTCGAAATAAATATGCTTAAAAATGCATTCTTAGTTCTTTTGTATTTAAAATCACGTCGAAAAATATACAACCGACAAATCAAAATTGGATTTTATTTCCCCCATAGTCAATGCAACAGATTTACCAGATACCAACATGTCATGACTGGAGGATGAAGAGACAAGCACACATGCACACACACACACACACAAATCAGATCTGGAGAACTGTATTAATGAAACCATAATCACCGAGGTGCAGCGTATTAATCAATCTCGGTTCCATACGGTTGATTAAAGACTAGTCCCTGGACACCTGACATTAACTGCTGAGATGGGATATTACATTTTCAAATGTGCTGAGAAACATACCAGGAGGCTTGTGCCTTTTGACAGTTTTGCCAATGATTCATAATTTAGTTTTTCATTTTCCATCTCTTTTGTCAAAAGTTTTCAGTTGTAAGGATCAAAGCTGGAGCAGTGACCAACCCGTCACAATTGCACAGATTTAAGCAACAGGAATAAGAAGAAGATTCTTATATAATGATCCCATCTAGCTTTGTCGCTGTTCTACATTCATCCGAGCAGGAGCTGAACAGCAACAGCACAAAGCAGGTCACGCTCAACTTATCAATTTGGCAGAGTGATCATCACAAGCGCCGCAGAGATAAAGCTCTTAGAAATGACAGAATGAGAAGAGCAAACCCTTTTCCAAAAAAAAAAGCTGCCGTCAAACATGACGCCACATGTATCGACAGTCCAACAGACTGCGTGAGACCTCGGCAAAACTTAAACCTCATCGGCCGAGCTTCTACAGCCTGTCTTATCATTTTAAGAGTCATTCAGTTGAAAACACGATGGAAAATTTCTTTAACCTTGGCTATGACAGAATGCGTTTCAGCCATACATTCGGCATCATTGCATGCCTTGAGTTTGGCGTCATGGCGACGGTGAGCTTGAGATGCCAGTGTTAAAGTCACATTATTGACACATATATGTGCATAAAAAAAAAAAAAAAAAAAAAAAAAAACACTCATTTTACACGCAGACAATGACCCTTCCAAAACCCCAATATTGGCACAAACGGGTTTTTGGGAAGCTTGAGGGTTCTGCCCAGTATCCTTGCTGTTCCCAGCACTGCATATTTCTGGACTGAGATGTCCGACGTTGTTCCCGGGATCTGTTGCAACCACTCATCTAGTTTGGGGGTCATTGCCCCGAGTGCTCCGACCACCACAGGCACGACTGTCACCTTCACCTTCCAGGCTCTCTCTAGCTCCTCTCTGAGCCCTTGGTATTTCTCCAGTTTCTCGTGTTCCTTCTTTCTGATGTTTCCATCACTTGGGACTGCTACTTCCACTACAACGGCTTTCCTCTGCCCTTTATCTATGATCACGATATCCGGTTGGTTCGCCATGACCATCTTGTCAGTCTGGATCTGGAAGTCCCACAGGATCTTCGCTCGGTCATTCTCCACCACCTTCGGAGGTGTTTCCCATTTTGACCTTGGGGTTTCCAGTCCATGGAAGTAACAGTCCATGGAAGTAACTGAAACATTCACCAGTTGAGCATGTGCATTCAAAAGCTTAGAGAAGGTCACATTAACTTCTCCCGTAAAGTTGTGAATGGATTTTAGGCTCGTCCTGAAATTTCACCCAAAAGCCAAATATCCCTAGCATTTTGTGAGTGGTTTGCACACCTTCGCTACTACGTTTGTACAACTTTATCAGTGCATACAGTACTTTCTTACACTGGTTGGACAATAATTTTGATCTCCCGCAATACATAATAGTGTTTAAATCAGAATGTAAATCCTTGATGGAGTATATGCATGTGTACGTCGGAATGCGTGTGTGCAAACGCTGTGAATGGCACTGTCATGCTTGAAGGATTAGCCTGTCAATCAGTCAAACCCTTGCACAAACCGAGTCGCTGACTTACCCCTGCACACTGGGGAAATCACGACCTCGTTTAAATGAGATGCTATGTCCAACCCCTTGGCTTCCTCATAACACTATGAACCTTTGGGACCTGTCTTCTCATTTCAGCACCGCAGGATTCTGACAGACATTTAATCGTCTTTTCAGCGGATCTCATGAAAGTCAGAAATTCTCTGCTCGGTTTACTGCCTGATGACACAGGCTTTGTAGCGTTGCTGAATCTCTGGCAGAAGAGTTCGGAGGGGCAGCCAGTATTTCTTACATTAACCCTTTCGAGGACAGCAGTCACTACAGTGAACATCTTATCATGTTATCAGGTTACAGGGGGCAGGGAAGGGTTAACCAAACTGTGCTCAGTGTTGTTTTCCACCCAGACTAGTTTAAACATCAACAAACACTCGTCTGCTCCTGATTGCACATTCAGTCGCAGAGCCAAAATAGTGTTTGTTTGAAGTGATGTTGTCAAGGTTACTGTCGTCATGCCAATCCACGTCGAATGCCACCAAACACCCTCCGCGCCTCTGGCATTTGAAGTGGGGATGCAATACAGAGCAACTCAAATGAATCAAGGTGATGCTTTTAAAAGCACAAGCATGTCACAGTGCAAATTTAAGTCTACATTTATGTCAGTGGGCGTTTATGCAAAGAAATGATAAATGAGCAATTTAGAGGACACAATCATTTACATGGTATGGACCAGTGGTCCTCCGGTACTGGTCGGCAGATGGGAATTAGTGGTAGCGCTCTAGAGTGGTTTACACGAAGATTGTTTTGAGTCCCGCTTTGCCTCTCTGTTGTATGGTCTTCCACAGGGATCTATTTTGAGGCCCCTGCTGTTTTCACCGTATTTGCTGTCCTGAGGTTCCATCCTAAGATGACATAGTATTTCCTTCCACTGCTATGTGGATGACAGACAGATCTATGTCCCGCTGAGCAAAAAGGATGTATTCTCCTGAATACCACTTGTGTCTTACGTCGAGGTAATTCAAATCGTGGATGTCACTGAATTTCACATTTCACCAAAAAGAAAACAGAAGTTATGGTTTTTGGTCCCAGTGGCCCTTGTATGTCCCACCCTGTTGGCCTGGGCCCCCAAGCATCTTAGCTAAGGCAAACTGTCTCAAACTTGCGTTTCAATTGGACGGTGATTTTATATTGGACCGGCAAATCAGTGCTGTTGTTAAAGATAGCGTCTTTCATCCGCACGACTTAAAAACAGTAATTAATGCCTTTGTTACGTCTTGGCTATGTTACTGTCATGCACTTTATTCTGGAAACAGCCGGAACTCCCTCAAGCATCTCCAGTTGGTCCAAAATGCTGCTGTTCACCTCCTAACTAGAGCTCGTAAGAGGGAGCACAAAACCAGTGACGTCTCTTCACTGGCTCCCAGTAGAGTTCAGAGTTCATTTTAAGATATTACAGTCAAACCTCAGTTTTCAAATGTCTCTGTTCTCAACCAAATCGGTTTTCAACCAGAAAATTCGAGATTTTTACGCCTTGGATTACGACCGAAACACGGTTTTCGACCAAACTGAGCAAACCCGAAAATGCCACTTGACTCCTCTCGGCTTTCTCATACGAAGAAGTGACGCTTCCTCAAGTAGCGTTCATTGTGAGCAGACGTGTTTGTTGTGATTTACGCAAATCTGCCTGTTATTTCTGTATAGTGTATTAGCCCCTAATCATGGGCTAACAAAATAGTTTCGGATTTCGAACAAATCGCTTTTCGAACAGCCTTCTGGAACGGATTATGGTCGAAAACCAAGGTATGACTATTTGTTTTTAATAATTAAATGGCCTCGCCCCAGCTTACCTCTCTGAGCTCCTGCACCCTTACCAGACGCCTGGTGTCTCAGGTCTGCAGATCAGACGTCACTGGAGGTGCCAAGAACTAAGCGGAGCCTCAGAGTGGATCGAGCTTTGTATGTATAAAATGTTTGCGGTTTTTTTTTTCTGTTTTGTGGAGTATATCCATCCCGATCCGGAAAATAAAATAAGAAAATAAGCAGACATGGCTGGAGTATTACAAAAACAAATTCTGGGAGAATTTTTTTGGAACTGATGAAAGAAAGATTAACAGCTGTCACAGAGCGGTGAAGGTCATTTGCCCCTCCTCCTGTGCCAGTCTGATTGTCAGCTCCGCCCTGAATGTTCCCCTTTTTCCTTGTGTTTAAATAGTCCTGTCTCTCTTTGTCTTGTGTGTTGGGGGGAAGGTGGCCTTTTTCTTCCTCCGCGTGTTCGTTTCATTTCAGGTAGTGAGGATGTTGGTTATCCGAATACAGGCTGGAGACGATGAACAGTGCCTTTGAAGGTTTGATTTGCAGAATATTACGGGCACATGTGAGTTACAGACAATGGCTGCAGATCACAAGTGCAAAGGCACAAGGGATTCGCATCATATTTATATCATCAGAAGGGCCGAAACTATGGTGCGGCATCGGGACTTTCGTTTCTCCTAAACCGATTCTTTGCTTGTATTAACGGGCGCATTCCGATGCTCTGTGCGTCTTCACAAAGTCTCCAGTAAGTAGTGTTTCAAAGTTAACTGATGAGTGCTTCAAGGATGCAAAGTTTCACTGCGGGCATGAGAAAGTTATCCAGGCATGACTAAATATGGGCAGAATACACACTTCATGTGCCAGTGTGTTTCTTCTTTGTGCATGCACTCCGGCCCCTCGCCACAGCCCTTGACATGATTCTGTAGCCGCTGACCCTCAAATAAATCTCCCCTTTACTCTGAACCCTGCAACTGTGTCCTTTGTCCAAGCCTGGTAACTGACAGATGCAACCAAATTCATCAGCCAGTCGTCTAAATTGTGCGTCAGTTGCAGATGTAAAGACCTGCAAATAAAAGCCGCACTGTTGACCTCTGAGCTCACAGTACTATTTTCATGCCAAATGTTTTCAGTCTACAGCAAAAAGAATGAATTATCCTCTCTGTCCCAATATTTTGAGGTTAGTGCCGTCACCTTTTTTTTTTTTAACTGTCATTTTTCATGGCACAACATAAGGGCAACATCCTACCGCCTGCCTACAATGGAATAGTTGACATCATATCAGCTGTATGACAGAAATGTGGTGACTATAGAGAGGAATTAATGTAGCAGACAGTGATTCAAAGAAAGCTCACGGTAGTGTGTACGCCCCATATACTTTATACACTGTACATACATAAATTGTACAGTACAAATTACCATGCTGCACTTCTTAGATAGTGGCAGCTATTGCCCTTTAGTGAGTTTTTATGCCACATTACCGTATTTTCCGGATTATAAATCGCTCAAGAGTATAAATCGCATTTCGGGGGGGAATTCATTTGATAAAATCCAATACCGAGAATGTACATGTCATCTTGAAAGGCAATTTAAAATGGAAATAAAATGGATAACAACAGGCTCAATAAGTGTACGATATGCTAACATTACATGACGCATGAACGACAAACGGAGAACATGCCTGGTATGTTCACGTAACATATTAAGAGTTGTTAAGATAACTCTAGCATAAAGAACATGCTAACACATTTACCAAACCATCAGTGTCACTCCAAATGACTAAATCCAATGAACTCTTCAGACTCTGTGTCACTTTTAAACAACTTCGCCAACTCGGGAGGTAGAAGAGCTTGAGGCACGCTCTTGAGGCAGAACGCTGGGGCGCCAAGATGGAAGTTCAATTTTCTATTTTTTTAAATTAGCTGGTTTGGGTCACATGACAGGGCAGCCCAACTTCAGCATTTATGCATTGTGCTAGCATAGAAGCTACGAGGAGGAGCTGCGCACATCTCTCACTGCGGGGCTAAGAATAGTCTTTTTCACCCACTCAGATGACTTTTTAAGTCCATAGACAGTCCACATTTCAACCTTCCACTTTTTTTCCCCCCACTCTCATAGCAATACTTTATTTCATGACTATTAATAGCGTTTCTACCTTGTGTATAGGTCAGAATCCGGATTATGTTTGTTTGTTTTTTTTTTGTCAGATGTCTTGTTGCACTAGCTCCATCCAACTCTTTTAGTTATTTGTGTATTCTCTGTTTAGTTACTTTTACGTGGTCCTCATTTTTCGCTTTGCATCTACCATTTGTTTCACACGTTTCTGCTCTCCCGCGGTTCAGGACAGTTTGATTCCTCCGCCTTTGTGGAGTCTGCTCCAGGGTCTACGATTCGATGAATTCACCTCCATAACGGCTTGAACATTTTATACGATGAATGTGCACGGACAACCTGTGATGAACTGCTGTTTGTGTTATTTTTTAGTTTTTTTCCTCGCTCATAGACAAATCAGCTTTTTGTTGTGACATAGATGGGATGTGCTGTCGTTATTCAGATGCTATAGTGTAAAATATACTTCCAAAAAATAAAAATAAAAAAATGGAAGTTACTCACCATGCTGTCATAATGGATTAACTCCAGCTCGTAGTCCGGAAGAATATCGGCTCTCTCATTCACCAGAGCCAAGGCCATCTTAGCGGCAGGGAGGCAAGCTTGCCCTCCAGGCCAGCCTCCGCTCATTGGGAAGAGAGCTCCGATGTATAGCTTCTTCTTGCCGAGAGCTGGATAGGGGCAGAACAGGAGCACAGCGAGGGTCAGGGTGAGGGTCAGACACAAGCTGGCGGCAGACCTGCTGTGAGAGCTGCTTTGCCAGACCGCAGCCATGCTATCGGTGGTCCTGTGCTTCAGGCTCGGAGGGGACTTGAGAAAGTTTTATTCAACCAGAACTTTGGAGCTCGCGGCGGGTCTCGTGCGAGTAGGCCAGAAAAAAATTAATTTCCATGAGCGAATTTGATTTGCTCTCGGGAATGGGGTGACATTTGCAATATGCTATTTGACTGACCGTGACATTTGATTTACTTTTTCCTCTTCAGATAGACAGATAGAGACTAATTGGTCTTTATGCCAAAATACATCATAAGTTCACTTTTTCGTCCAATGGGTCTCTCAAAGTTCGCCAAAAAGACGAACTGGTAGGAAATTCCAAAGAGAAGAGCAGGATTCGGTTAGCCCCAACTTGGATATGAAGTCCAGATTTTCAGATGGCCGTCAAGGTTCCGAAACGTTTCAGATTGTTTCTCAGGATCTGCTTTTCCCCCATTGACAAATAGGAAGAGGATCCATCACGAAGAAACACATCTGAAACTGTCGCAATTTTTGCTCGGATCCACTCTTGTCAGACCGCCTACATTCTCCGCTTTCTGCTCCAAAGGCGCATTACGACACACGTCGGCTCGGGAGAGCGCCGCAGTACACCAGCATCATCTGTTGGTTTCCATTTGGAGTAGCCGAGTCGAACGAGCAGGACTCGGGAGTCGCGGAAAGGTGTCAAAATGGAAAAGTATCCCAATTGTCGAGCTCCCCGGGAGGAGGAAGACAGGGGAGAGGAGAGCGGGAGGTGCGCAGCGCAAACGTTTTTCCGACTGAGGTCTGACTGCAGCAGCACAGCAGCCGCATGTGGGAACGCGTGAGAGAGGAAGGAGAAGGACGAGGAGGAGGAGGAGGAGGAGGAGGGAGAGGGAGGGATGTTCTCTCTGTTTCACAAACCACTTTGAATTTGCAAAACCATAACAGTCTCGCTCATTTATCTCCTCCCACTCTTCGCCTTCATCACTACCCGCCCACCTTCCTGCCCTCGCTTACCAAACATACTTTTCGAGGGTATTTTTCACGCAAAGCTTTCAACCAACTCTAATAAATGTTCTTCATGAACCAATGATCGTTCAGGGAGGATGGGGCCAATTTCTGTTCGTCATGTTTCCTGCGAGCCGCGATTCCCGCGCCATGATTTGTTTCAGTTCAAGCGCAACGTGTCCTCCTGCACTGACTTGTTGCATGTCTCGAGACACTTTGCGCGATGATGTTCTTCCTCCTTCGCACAATTCTTTCCATTGTTAAATGTTTGCTACTGCGGTTCTTCTGACCAGGGTTTGATGCTGCCAATTGCCAAACAGATCAACTATGAGTGAGATCGCCTGATTCTGACACTGAGCTCATTGGCGAGCTGCACTTTTCTTTTTTTAATTTTAGAGCTGCTCACTAACGATTAGAATACCGTATTTTCCGGACTATAAGTTGCAGTTTCTTTTCATAGTTTGGCCGGGGGTGCGACTTATTCTCTGGAGCGACTTATGTGTGAAATTATTAACGTTGAAATTATATTATTTCACGTTATTTTCACATTAAACCACAAGACGGCGCTCTCGGCCTGTGTTGATAAATCGCAGACATAGAAGAGGAAGCAGCGCATCGTCTACCTCCGGAGTTGGGGGAGTTGTTTGAAAGTGGCACCGGGGATGAACATTTCATTGGATTTAGTGATTTGGAGTGAAACTGATTGTTTGGTAAACTTGTTAGCATGTTCTTTATGCTAGAGTTATCTGAATAACTCTTAATATGTTACGTCGTTACTGACCAGGCATGTCAATCATGGAACGTTAGTATACCGTACACTTATTTAGCCTGTTGTTCTCGATTTTATTTTTATTTTAAATTGCCCTTCAAGATGACATGTATGTTTTTGGTGTTGGATTTTATCAAATAAATTTCCCCAGTGTGACTTATATGTTTTTTTCCTTCTTAATTATGCATTTTTTGGCTGGTGTGACTTCTAATCGGGAGCGATGTATAATCCGAAAAATACGGTAATAAGCGATTGGATTAATCTGTCCATTTTTTAATTAATTCATAAATCTGATTTTTTTTCATAATAGATGAATTCATGAAAAAATAGGGTTCAATTCCTTTACATTATATTATTTCAAAATGAATGTAAAAAAGCAGGACAAAAAAAAATAGCATGATTCAGTTACTGGTTTAGTCTGCCTCACACAATTATTTTGCGAGCCGACCGATCTCCAGCAATCATCGCGATTAGTCAACTCATCGGCTCAAATGTAAATTGCACCAGCAAGCAGCTGCCCTTATAATCGTCATCATGAGCTCACATCTTGACATCTTTAAGGTACGTACAAATTAATCATGGCAATTAAGATGGTCATACATTAAACTTTCATAACCAGCATTCCTGTCATATTTATACATGACGGTGCAACTTAACTGGCTAAAGTGATACTGTAGCCTTCATTTTTAATTTTTTTTAGCTGTAAATATTCAGTGCATTTTAAAACGGAACCAAAAATTAGACACTATGCCGAGTTGCACTAATACTATGAAACAATCTATAAAAACTAAAATGCTTGGAAACATATTTCACTCTTCTTGGGCACAAAGCCTGAATTTTTTTTTATTTTTATGTAGAATGCAGTGAAATCAGATGAGTAAAATGAAGCAAATGCACTTTGCTAACGAAAACTAAAAATAAACACATTCATTTTGTTTTTAACCATTTCACGCACCCTGTAACCTGATAACATGATAAGCGCTTTGTCCACTGTAGTGGCCGCTGTCCCCGAAAGGGTTCTTGAACCTTTATCTGAAAGCTTTTGTTTTGCTTCACTCGTATGCATGATTTAAAAGTAAAAGGAAAGACGCAGAGGATGCTACGCTACTCACGGGCTGCTCTGTAGGTGACTGCAGGCTGTGACGGATGATCGCTTTTGGTAATCGGCAATGACATTGCATAGCATTGAACGACATATGCCGATTATGTGTTTTTTTTTATTCCACGGAATTGGTTTACTATTGCTAGCGTGATACGCTTGCGTGGTTGATCCTTGTATGCCAAACGAGTAATCGTCTAGCCAAAGCCAATACACTAAAATCCACTGGCCACTTTGCTGCCAAGCCAAACATATTCAGCCAATCGAGCAATTGAACTGATAAACACTCCAAGTGGAGGTCGGGTGGAAACACTCAAGCTCCTTTGTCCTTCATGAGAAGGAGAGCAATTATGAATAGCATAAGAACTCGAAAACATTGTAGCCCATATCTGGAGGTCCAGACACCTCTAAAAAATTATTTGGGTTGATTTGTGCTTCTGTACCAGTGAGGTTTTGATTTTCATTCCTGGCCCTTTTTTTTTTTTTTTTTAAACAACTGTCAAATAAATGTTTCGAGGCTATTTTAGAGAGAGACTTTATGCAGCTCTACTTCAGACATTGTTAATATTACCGACATTAGCAAGTCAGCACAGCTGCTCTCTCCTGCCGTGAATGTGACAACGTCGTTGCCATCGATCACACTTGGGCTTCTGGCCGCATCCAGAAGGTTACATAAGACTGCGTTTTACTGTATGCATAGTATCTCATTTTAACTTCCCCAAATTAAACGGTTCTGTCATCGTGAGCTCTATCCGGGTGTCTATCTGGAAGTATCTACCAACGAGAACTGAAACTCTCTGAGGCTTAATTCTATTCTGTGGAACTCTGAAGTCAATCAAATTTGCAACCTTTTGTTTGTTGGTCCTCTTTATGTGTTGGGAGACTTCTCGATCAATGGATGAAATCTGAAACCTTTTGGTTTTCACGCTAGTTTTGGGTAGCCTTTTATATGGCGTGTATTCATCAAGAAAAATCAATGCAGGAAATGAGGTTTTAATAAATACTAATTGTGAAATATATAAATATAAACCAGGGAACCAAATCTACAAGACTCCACCTTATTATCTTATTTCGTGATCTTGGTTATTTCCTATGTGGATAATATTTTGCAACTCCAGGTAAATTCGTCGACCAGCGTCCCAAAAATGATTTTTGATTATTTGCAGGGAATCAGGACCAAGCCCTGTGGAAAACTGTATAAATCCTAAAGTGGGGAAAAAAAAAATTCACGAACCCCCATAATGGTTTATAAGTGCATGCATGGACACAAGATGGCGGAAAAGCACTACTTTTGTCGAAACCAAGCTCCTCTTCTTACACCAACATAGTTTGCTGGCACTTAGGATGCCACAAGATGGTGCCAAACAGCACCAGATACATTATCCAGCGCAAGCCGTAGATAGGTTCAAAAAAAAAAAGTGTGAATACCAAACCCTAACTGAGCGGCGTTCACTGGATTTGGCTCGATACATTTTCCTGCCATCTAAAAGAGAAAGACTTTTCTCCAGGCTATTTTTTATTTTTTTTAATGGTCAATACAGTCAGTATATTTATTCTTATGCTGTCGGGGTAACTGGAATTTGTGCTAAACAATGCTAATGCTGCAGTATAATTAAAATGACGTATTCAAATGAAAACATGGGCGCTAAATCTCAAAAGAGTGAAATGAAAGTGTGAGAACGGCAATAAGTGAAGGTGACTTGCAGACCGACTGCAAAGCAGTTGATCGCGCTCAGTGGCAGTTTCTGACGTGCTTGCCGCGCAGGGTGACATTGCGGCCTATGGCACCACCCGCGTCTGCTAAAAATGACAATGAAAAAAAAAATGCTACTTGAATTGGATTCCTTTGGCATGAAGGCATGACCGTAGCCGTCCACTGTGGGGAGTCACCAGGCAGAGATACGCGCCGAATAAGCACAATTGCTCTGCTCTTGCACAAGATACAGAGTGAATGTTACTAGCAAGGCTAACGCAGACGAGGCTAGCCCAGTCAAACGATTTGTAGCTAACACCGCTACCACATCATGAACACGAACAGGGTGGCGACTAAACAGGTCCAG